TGTTAGTCGTGTAGATTACTATCTTCCGTAGTAATCTCTTTTTCTTCAATTTCTGTTTCAACAATATATTGAGTATCATTAATTTTTCTCATAGGTTTTAACAGGTGAATCAAAGTTGGCCTGTAAAGTTGCTTCATTCCATAAATGTCTAGTTGTGAATATATCTTTCTGAATTGATTTACCATACAAGGAATTACCTAATAATTTCATGCAATTACTACCCACGATATTACCTTCTCGTTTATATTTATTTCTTAGATCTATCAAAATTAAGATATAATCTCTATAGGGTGGAGTTTTAAGATTTTCTTCGTAAACTATACCATCTAATATTCTAATAATTCGTCCACCGGCTTTCACTATTTCTTGAATATCGACCGATGTTAAAACGTCGTGACAGAAACCATTTCTGAACCTGATTTTGTTACCAGTTTCCTTTTTACCTTCTTTATTCGTGAAAGTGATTTTATCTTTAGCTGGTATCGGCTGGAAGAACATGTTTTTGGGATAATCAAACCACACTGTTAAAATAGCTGTTCTAGGTCTGAATTTTTGTTTATTGAAGAGTTTTACAAATTCTTTTTCTTCTTCTGGTAGAAACGGTCTTCCACTTTCCACTCTCGGATATTCACTGTCTAAATCCGACATGGCGGAAGCGTATAAACCGTTAGCATCAAATGCCATTAGTTTAGTACATTCTATTTTTTTAAGTCTCGAATGAACCTCCGTTTTGTCTTTTGTGCTTGCACTGTATTCTTTGAATAAATCAATTATGTTATTACTTTCTGTGTCACTTTGTGAAATATATTCCTTTAATACGTTACAAATTTCATCCATTTTCTTCGTTTCAAATGATTTTCTATTTGCCGAAACTCTTCCTCCTTTAATAGATCGTCTGATAAAATTTCTTATAAAAGGATTAGTGTGCGAATAAACTTTTTCTACGTTTTCTTTTTCAGTATGATTCGCAACCAATCTAGTAGTTTTCATACCATTCTTCTTCCACCATTTCTTTATCGTAATGATATAAATAATACCAACCCTTTAAAGATAAAGATGGAGCCGTTAGATTATTGGACATATTCTGGTTTACAACTTCTTTCGTCACTTGGTTGTATTTTATCAAACAAGCTCCCAAACAGAGAGTGTCTCTCTTGGCGTAAGGTTCCCATTCGTGTCTCAATTCCCCCCAGTTGTCTTGCGTGTATTTAGCGATATCTACGTCGGCAATCTTTCTCAAATTCGCTGGGAGATTGGAAGAATTTCCCCATGCAGCCAAACTAGAGGATTCGTGTTGATAGGAACACGTGAATTTAATATGTTGTAAATAATTACCCTTTATTTCTTTCTGTCTTTTCCATTTTTTCTGTAAATCTTCATCCGTGTATGGATTAGATAAAGGAAAAGATAGAATTCCGCTGGGTGTTTTTAAAGGGCAATGCGTTAGTTTTTTTGCATTTTAAAGCACGATCCAGTTGTCGAATCCACTACCGTTATGAGAAATTAATATTAATCTCTTTCTATCATATTGACCTAAATATTTCAACATTTGATCTATACAATCTGTACCTACAAATAGTTCTACTAAATTCATTAGTTTATCATAAAATTCTTCTGGAACATTATCAGTAGGATTTATATTTGGAAAGATATTTTTTATCGTTTCTAACTTTTTTCTTAGTTTTTCTAAATTAATTAAAGTGCAGGCATAAGGAATTGCTCTTCGCGTGTCTTTTTCTGAATACGTTTCGCAATCCCAAGCGAATAACGCATCATCACTCATACTCGAAAGCACGTTTAGTTTGAGGGGTGAAACCTGTGTTACTGCGTTATCGTCTTTTACACGTTTTCCACACCTGTTCGTAATTGTCTTCTATTTCTTGAATTCCCAAACTTTTTTGGCTCCTTCTTATCAAACAGAAATGTGAGTTGTGTAAGTAAAAAAACCCAATCTAATTCATCCTGAACGTCTCTGGGATGAAAATGTCTATTTTTGGGATTATAAATTTGAAACGAAGTGTTGAATTTCTTGTTGAATTCCTTCATTCTAGCACAAGTCATCACTCATTTTCTATTTGCTTTTGAAAACCCGTTGATGTATTCTTGAAATTCTCTCGTGTAGTCTTCGTTTAAAACACGATTACGCATTTTATAAAACAGTGATCATCTGTAGGTATGTAACAATTTTCGCCGACGAATTCATTGATCTTTTTTAGTAGATCAGTTCCTCCTCTACAAACTCTCGATCTTTTTATTTCTTGGAAATTGTCTTCCATTAAAATTATTTTTCCTGTAAAATACCAATCGGAAGCATCGGATTTTTTTGTCCATATTTGAAAAGATATTGTGAAAAGTTTTGGCATTGAAACCGAGGAGTGACATGTATTGTCTGTGATTCCCTTCCTCGACTATCTCTCCATCTATTTTAATTTGTTCTTTAAATGTTTTAAATTTATCAGAGATAGCCTTGATAACATCGGAAAATAGGTCGTTTTCTATCAATGTTTCATCGTCTGCAAGTTCGATTTCATTCATATTTTTTTAAGTATATATTTTTGATTATTTCTTTATTTTGACCGCTGATATTTCTGTATGGAATTTGTCCATTGAATTCTTGTAATTCTTCAACTGTTATGTTCTTGTCTTCTCTCGATCTTTCGAAAAAGATGTACAATTGATTAAGATACATATTCAAGATATCCGTTTTCTTTTTATAATGAGCTTTCTTTTTGCTCGTGAAACCTAAAGTGATGAGACCGCAAGAGGTCGTTTGAACGGCTGTTAATGCAGCCAATACGGTTGGGACGATGACCGGAAGCATTAATCCACCAGTCACGGCCGTTGCCACCGTTACTCCTACCGTTAGAACTGTGTTCGCTGTTTTGAAAAAAGAATCGATTCTACTTCATGTTTTCCTGCATGTATTGCACTGTCTTAACTTTATTTTCAACCCTTCTTGTTTGTCTATCATGTATTGTTGTCTGCTTTCGAGTTCCATTTTTTGAGTCGTTAAATTAAGTGAATTTCCGATAAATGGAACCACGGAATATCGTATAGAACGTTGTTGTTTGGCCTAGCATTATTATATTCGCGGCTATTAAAAGTAACAACATTTACGCGTACTAACGACATTTCTTTTTTCGTATGGTCCTCTTTAAGATGATAGGAATATTTTATTTTTTCTTTTTCGATGTTTATCTTGGCTCTAAAAATAAAACCACCACCTTCAAGGATGGAGTCTTCGGCAAACGATAAATGTACTATAAACTCTCTTTCTTGTTGACTTTTATGAACATCGATCGAGGTGTATTTTCCACCTAAAGCGAAGTTTTACGTATTCAAAGTCTGTTGTTCGTAAAAACTCGTGACTGCTCGATTCTATTGATCCGTGTACGTGTAAGCGTCGTGGAACTTTGACAATGTTGCTTGATGGTGGATTTTCCGTCTCCAATATCATATCTAAATCTTTGATTCCAATGTTATCCTTATCATTTTCTACTTCCATTTTAAAGGTGTCTACATATTTACCATTTTTCGTTTCAATTTCCTGATCCCTTTTATCAATCAAACGTATATTCTCTTCCAAATTACCATCATTGAATAATGAAATATGTTTGACGGCATTACCGGTTTGTTTGAAGACTACTTTATTGACTTTAACCTTCATGGGAAACTCTATTTGAATCAGACAATTACCTCGAAAAGTAAACCCTTGCGTTTCGCCGATATCGAATACGTTTTTAAATTCTCCGTATGCGAGGGAACCCACTTTTATTTCTGCTTTGAATCCGTATTTGTTTGATTTATAAATTTGGTCTTTTTCATCGAAGACAGTGTCACTTTCGAATGGAAGATTGAAATAATACGACTTGTAGCTTCTAATTTGGTCAACTTTCTCTCTTGTCTCAAAAAATCGTCATGAATTCTAGATACTAAAAGATTGACCTGTTCTTTAATATAATTTTTCATATCATCTCGAAATTTATTTTGAAGAAAGTTTTTAATCACACCCACTTCTTTTTCTAATTCGTCCGTGATTTTAGTATCCAAAGCAGTCAATTGTCGCTTCAACGTATCTTTGTCAATGGGAAGTGTGTTAATTATATCTTGAACATCTGATTTTTGCTTCGCGATCTTTTCGTTCACGTTGGATATCGAATTTTGTAACTCGGTTTTGTCCGCGGTCTTGTCTAGTTCTGCTAGCAATTCGCCAAGTTTTCTTTCCAAAGCGGTTAGTTTTCGTTTCAATCTATCCTCGTTTACATTTGGGTTGTCTATTAAACGTTGGACGTCTATTTTTACCTTCGTAATCTTATCGTCTAATTTAGATATTAAATTTTGCAACTGACTTGTTTTATCCACTTGAATAAGACGTTTCAAACTCGTCAACTCTTGTTGTAGTTTGGGTTCGTCCACAAGATTTTTAATATTTCGTCTGAGGTATCTTTTCCCGTCATTTATTCTATTTTCAACATGGTCCTTATCTATTTGAATTGCATTTATTTGATCCTGTAAATATTTATTGTTCACGGCATCGTTATCGTTTCCTGGAAACTTTAAATTAGTTATTTTGAAATTGTTCATATCGATATCCCCTTGTAAGGTGTCTCCGATTTGATCCACAAGGTTTCGCTTTGTTTATAAACGTCGTCATGGGATTTTTAGATTCTAGAGGTAAAGACCCTAATCAAAACTTGTTTGCCATTTTTATTGAGTTAAATTTATTATAATTTCTTCAAACTTTTCTCCCAAACTCAACCGATATAAAACCCAAAGCGACAGCTGTCCACACAGCTTTTGTCCTGGCATTTGAATTTGAAACGTAGAACATTTGATTGGCTTGCTTGTCAATTTCGTTATCTCTTCTGTCGGTTCTAGACCGAAAGAATCAAAGAAATAAACGAAGAATCTTTGTGTAAAGCAGAGTGATGAACTCCTTTTTGATCCGAAGTATGAATGTTTGTGATGGTGTAAAATTTACCTTTCTTGTATTTCAGTTCATCAATTTCATCTCGTAATAAAACGGCGAGACGTTCAATTCCTTGGCCCATTTCACAAGTTGAAAGTTTGTGGTCGTGTCTTTTCCGTATTTATCGAGAAATGCATTCATTTTTTAATTTGATTTTTTTTAGGTGTTTTTCGAAGTAGGCGGTAAGTATTGCTCAAGACCCAATTGACGAAATATATACGTAGTTTGTGTTTGAAAAAACTTGTATAACATTCTGATAAAACACATTCAATAATATTTTGAAGATAAATTTACATTTAAATTTAAAAAATCTTAATTTAAGAGAGCGTAAATGCTTGTCGACATCTAAATTTCTTAACCTTTCATCTAACTCTTCATTTTCGAGATTCATTTTTAAAAGTCAGTTTTTTAAGTTCATTTTGATAAAACCTTCCTATGATTTGTTCTTTGTCTTGATCGATCAATTCATACGTGGGAGGTGATGTGTTGTTTACTTTATCAGCGATGAATATCTCGTTAGTCCAATAGCCGACGTAACCTTTCTGAAACAATGATTTATATTTAAAAATACGAACTCGATCTCCAACTTTGAATTTGGGTTTAATATTCAAATTGCTAATCTCGTTTTCAAAGTTGTTTCGAGTGTTGACGGACTTTATGATATTCGGGTTATTAGAGGCTTGCGTTGGCGTCACACCTATAGACGAATGTATTTTGTTATTGTATTCGTCTACAACAACTGGTAATATTTTAAGCCATTTTTGAGATTTCAATTCCGTGAATTTCTTGAATAATTTTTTTTTAAGAGTTCTGTTGAATCTTTCTATCACTACGGCTTTACCTTCGTTATGCGTGCTGTAAATTTCAAACCCCAGAGATTTCACATTTCTGTTGTAGAATTCGCTTCCTTTACCAACCCACAACTTTAGGGGTCGTCTGTCGGATTGTTTCATTATGGTTTCGAATGCTTGTTTGACAGTCAGACCCGATTTTTTTTTCAAGGGAAAGACCCAAGCGTATCTCGTGTATATGTCGATCACCGTCAAACAATACTTGTACCCTCTCTCGACTGGCATGTTGATTAAATCGGCTGACCAAATTTCATCTTTATCAAAACTTT